GTCGCTGTCATGAGAGACTTTAGCTCAAGTGTGTCAACTTAGTTTCTTATGAATTGCTCTGTCAGGCATCATTCACTGGTTGAACTATTAACCAAATTGCATGTGCGATTGTCAGGACAGGATAGATGATTAACCTTAAAATTGAAGAATTGTCTCACTACCCTGTTCCGTACTGAGCTCACCGTATCTACTGTGAGAGATTGTGTTGTCTCATATCAGAATGTGTTTTAGGAAAAACCTTATTAAAATATCAACATGAAACTTCCCCAGTTGGTTCTGAAAATGTATGTTTAAATCTGACAATGAGTCAGTTTCTTGCAAAATATGTGCTAGTTTTCATACATTTCCAGAACATAAATGTGAACGTTGGATAAAGCCAGGCTCAAAATGATCATTTCATGTTGTTGACATATAAGAGTCAAAGGTTTTCCTGAGGGGATTTATGATATCTCTTTATATCACTCCATAAACCAGAAAATACTGTCAACAGACATTTAAAAAAAATCCATTATCACCTTGTTGTATTAATAAATGTATAAATGAGTGTGTGAGTGGTATGTGAACAAACCCCTCTGTGTGAACCTTCAGCACACAGAGGGGAATGAACGAGTGAAGTTTGGTGAATGTAAGAGCTGCTGAAGTGGAGATTTATCATCAGAGTCTGAGAACAAACTCATTTAGAGGAAACGTCCTTTAAAGAGACGTTTAGTTCCATTACAGACATTTAGAGACTCTACAGGTGAACACATGAACTCATGATATCACCATGAGACTTCACCACTTCATCACTCACATTAAGAAGACTCTACAGGTGAACACATGAACTCATAGATATCACCATGAAACTTCACCACTTCATCACTCACATTAAGAAGACTCTACAGGTGAACACATGAACTTATAGATATCACCATGAAACTTCACCACTTCATCACTCACATTAAGAAGACTCTACAGGTGAACACATGAACTCATGATATCACCATGAGACTTCACCACTTCATCACTCACATTAAGAAGACTCTACAGGTGAATAGAGTCACAACATGAACTCATAGATATCACCATGAAACTTCACCACTTCATCACTCACATTAAGAAGACTCTACAGGTGAACACATGAACTCATAGATATCACCATGAGACTTCACCACTTCATCACTCACATTAAGAAGACTCTACAGGTGAACACATGAACTCATAGATATCACCATGAAACTTCACCACTTCATCACTCACATTAAGAAGACTCTACAGGTGAACACATGAACTCATAGATATCACCATGAAACTTCACCACTTCATCACTCACATTAAGAAGACTCTACAGGTGAACACATGAACTCATAGATATCACCATGAAACTTCACCACTTCATCACTCACAGTAAGAATACTCTCCAGGTGAATACATGAACTCATAGATATCACCATGAAACTTCACCACTTCATCACTCACATTAAGAGGAGTATTTATTGTATTACATGTTTACTGAAATGTTATGTTTAAATATGCAAATGAAACATCTAATGGTAACTTTTGGTGCATTTAGTAGAAATCTACAGACGTAAACAGACAAAGTATAAAATAAATGTTTTATTTCTTCTAGTATGAAAGAAGACGAGTTATGGAGGAAAACTAGACCAAAATCTGTAATTTGATGAGAGCATGAAGAACACTTAATTAGGCTCGTTGACCTCTCAGTCTGACATGTGTTGTAGTTTTGGGTCACTGTGTGCTCGATTTAGTTCGTAGCGTCCACATCCTCGTCTTTCGGCCTGCGAGGAATGCTGCTCTTATCTTAAACCAATGAGCTGAAGGTCAGATGCTTCACTCTTCTGTTGTTATTTGATACAATCCGCATTTTCCAGTTTTCATGCCACAAAAACAAAAAAAAGTGGAAAATATTGCTACTTTCACACACAAAATGTCCGCTGTGCTGAGTTAACGCAATG